ATATGCCCTCTCTTCTTATCAGGTGGATGCTTCACTCTCTACTCTAGTCCTCTATGGCTATGTCACTGACTCTGAGCCCGAGTCCCCAGGTCTTGCCACATTGCTGGCCAACCAGGTCTTCACCCGGGTTCACAGAAGTCTATTGAACATTGTAAGGCTTAACTGGCCGCTTCATTGCTGTTTTCCCCTCACTTCCCCTTATCGGTGATGAGCTTGGTCACCAATCAGAGAGTGTATTCCCATTGAGTCTTAGTCTTGGAAGGGGGTTCACACTGAGGGGACCTGACCACTAAAATAAGTACGTTTTGAAAGAAAAAAAATGTTTACTTTGAAAAGCTATCTTAAAATATGATGGAATAGTCTGTCCTTGACCCCAGATCTGGAGATTCCCTTTAAATCTTCCTTTGATCATATCTAAGATTCAGCTTCATATATCTAAGATTCAGCTTCATTGCAAGTAACAAGTGTTCATACAGAATCTCCAGTGGTTGTTATACATTCATCTGTTGGTTTGCTTCTTTCTGGATCTGATTAGTGAGCAAGTCAAGGCAATATAAAGGAAAACTGGATTCAGGTAGTTGAAATTTTTTTGAACCTGAAAAAGTCGGATTTAAAATTTTATGGGTCTTAGATACATACTCACGAAAGTGAGTGCTGGATGATTCTTCTAACTTAGAATACTATGTTTCTGACATGTACAAAACAATAAAGATTATGCTGGGAAGGCATATGGAAAACATTCTCTAATCTTAAAGCCCCTATGCTTTCCTTATTTCTTCACTGAACTATAATTTAATGCAATTGAGATCAAAATGGGAGAAAATAAGCTTCAGAAATACGATTGAAAATGTAAATTATAATTTTAAAATTCATATTTTTCAGACTGGCAACTTCTTATAAATGCAGCTTACATGATCTTATTTACTCCAGTTCCAAGGTAATAAAACCAACAGTGAGAAAATTTGGAGGTGGATAAAAAGACTGTTTAAATTAGGTAACATCGTTAAAAAAGAATACTTCTCCCTGAAGCTGTGTTGAATTATAATGTTTGGTGGTAGTTTATTAATCCATTTACTCCCATATTCTTGGTCAGGTACATATTTCAATGCCTGCTACACACTGTATTCTGCCTGTCTAGGAAAAAAAAAAAAAAAAGCAAAACAAACAATTTAAAAGGCTTTCAGTGTCTTTCAGAAGTAAACTAGACATCATGTTGAGGACAGATATGGCATAGAACAGTATTTCAGAAATACCTTAGAGTGGCTTGAATACCAGGAATAATTTGGAACCCTGGCATGGTTCTGATTTACAACTTAATAACTTCATTTTCTAGAAATAAAGTGCAGTTATTACTTAAAGGCTGAAATAGTACTATTTTCTCTGAATACCAGTAATAATTTAAATTCATGACTTCTATATTATTCATGCAGCCCAATTTAATATGAACAGTATTGCTAGTGTTCAATGTTTATGAAGAGTATGCCCTGAGGGTATACTGAGCTTTATAACAAACAGATGCTAGAAGTAATTACCTAGTCAGCTACTCTAATGAATCAGAGCCTAGGCTATATTGTATGCTTCTGGTAACCAGAGTGTGAAAGAAAATCATACACTGGTGGAGAAAAAAAAATTACTTCCGGAAGATGCAAATTTTAAAAGCAAATATGCAGAAGATTTATTATTTACTTTACAAAAGATGTATTTTTATTACTTTACAAATTAATTTTCTTTTTTTAAAGTTAAGGTATGATAATAGTGATTTCCTTGACTTGGGTACTGACTTGTTTATATTAGAGAAAACAGGGTTTAGAAAATATGAGTAACTTGAGAAGTGACCTGAATGTGGTTGAGTTTCTCAATCTTTTCCCTCTTTTTCTTGTAGTTTTGAACTAAGGGAAAGCTCAAGTCTCTGCTTGGCATGGGATGAAGCAAAAACTCTGAAGAAACCAAATCTTAATGGGTAGAAGCACTGAAGAAGTGAGCCCTTATCAGCCAATGAGTGTGGGAAGAAACTACTTTCTCTGTCTTTTAGTCTTTGTCTGTTTCTCTGTTTCTTTCTTTTCTCTCATATTTTTCTATTGATTATTTCTAGATTGATTCCTCAGTCCTGAAAATTTATACCAGGATTTTGTACCTGTAAAACTCTGAGAAAAATCTTATAATTATTGTCAAAAGACTGGAAATGTATATCCTGATGGCCTGAGTGCTTAGGGAGAATTCTGTGGAGGAGAAAATTGAAGAAAGGAATCCCCTAATTCTATATATGAAACCTGAGCTGTTCATGCACAAGAAAACAAAAAAGCATCATAGCTAAGTATTTAGGAATTGAACACATCTAAACACACTAGTAAGGAGACCAGGTGATGCTGTATGTTAGTCATTGGGCTGCTAACTGAAAGGTTGGTAGTTTAAACTCAACAGCTACTCCAAGGGACAAAGATGAGACTGTGCCCCTATAAAGATTTAGATTCGTCTTTTCATCACTTTAAAGAAAAAAAAAAAAGTTGCAATCTGGATTGGGATTGCATTATATCAATAGATTTCCTTGGTTAATATTGACATTTTCAAAATGTTAAATCTTCCTATCATTGAGCATGATATAATCTTCCAATTTTGTTAAGTCTTTTTTGGTTTCTTGTAGTAGTGTTTTATACAGTTTCTTTATATAGGTCTTTTGTTTCTTTGGTTAGATTTAGTCCTAAGAATTTCATCTTTTGGGTGGCTATTGTAAATGGAGTCCTGGTGTGATACTCTAGAATAAGTGCTGGAGTGCTAATCCACAAGGTTGGCAGTTCAAAACCACTAGCTGCTCCTCAGAAATTCTATGAAGACTAGGACTGTTCTGATGTGACAAAGGAGCTAACCATAAAACCACTACAATAAATCAGCAATATGGTGAGCTCATAAATATAATTATAACAGACTGATGTAATGGGAAAGAAGTACATCAGACTTAGAAAGAAATGACCAATTATAGATACTGAATTAGGTGAGCAAAATGTAGAAATTACAAGAGAGTTATCAGGAGACCCAGTGCCTGTCCCAGAGGAAAAAAGCAAAAAACAGTACAATAAGTGAAACCAGCAACTCACTCCTCACTCAAGAGGAATAGATGGCTCTCCTCTCTGTGAGAACATCTATGTTTAATAAATCTCTTTGCTTGCTTAAATCTCTGTCTCTTTAACTCATTATTGTGCCTACCTGCTGCCAATCCTTTAGAGGGACAGTGGGACCATACCAGGACACTTATCTGTTGTGACAGAAGTCATAGAAAAATATTAATATCACATGTAAGTAAAATTTTACTGAAGATAATTCAAAAATAATTGCAGTAGAACATCAACAGGGAGCTTCCAGAAATTCAAAGTAGATTCAGAAGAGAACATGGAATTAGTAATGTCATTGATGATGTAAGATTTGAACCACCTTTCCCCAAGTAATTTCATTTTCTTAGTCTACAGTTTTATTATATTGTATACATTAATAAATTCTAGTATCTAAAGAGGACACATCCTGAATGAAAATGGAGAAATCTTTGTTGTAGTGTACGGTGATATCAATCATGGGCCCTTTTTTGCTGGTTCAAGTGTATCTGAAATCCCAAATGACATTTTCAGCAACACTCCCCAGTCCCTAGGTCTCACTTTACCTATATAGCTGGCTCCAGAGAAGGACAGGCTGACATTATACAGGAAAGGGCTAGAGTATCCCAAACCAGGAGAGACAGAACCTCTGCTTTCAGAACAAAGGGCATTTTCTTTTTTTTTTAAACAAAACAGAAAAGAAACAAGAGAATAGGTAAAGAGCTAATAAGCAAGCTATCTTATCCACTGATAAATTTATACTTAAGCTTCATTAAGGAGGTGTAAATGAAGGAGCCAACTTGGTATGGTATCCTTCTGTGGGTGCTGGCCATTCCTACACCTTAAATTGTATGCCATCTCCAGAGGGGTACCTGTGGAGAGGAGTGTCCTGGGGAAAGGCATTCAGAGAAAAGTAATTGACTAACATTTTTTATGATGGTGTGAGCATGGTGGCTGTAGAGGACAAGGACTGGTCTGTGGACAACAAAGTAAGTGGTCAGAGCCCAGAAGCCACTCCACTGGAGAAAGATGAGACTCTGCTCCAGCAAAGATTTACTGCCTTGGAAGCTCCACACAGGCTCACCAGGAATCAGAACTAGCACAACAGCACATAGCAGTAGAAAGGTGGGGACTGCATGTAGCAACAATAGGCTTATAACCACTCACATTAGTACTTCAGGAATGGTCTCTTATATATCAATTCATGGTGCTCAATTTGAGCCTGCTTCTAGGGGCAACTCTGATTCTGAGTATGGCAAAGGAAAGCAATGGGTGCAAAGTTAGATGAGTAAATTGTTCATGGTTTTCCCAGGGCCTTTAGGGTATAGTTCATCTTGGTTTTTCTAGTCAATTGGCATCTCCAAGAGTTGTGCATTTTTCATTTTATTTGACAAGTTGTGAATCTTTAGCCAGCTGCTCTCTTGAGATATTCAGGGGAGTAATTTGGGTGTGAACATCTTCAGCCCAAAGTTGGGAGTTGTTGCCAGAGCCTGAAAGAATGGGACCTGGGCTGCCGCCACCATGCCAATACATTTCTCTTGGAGGACTCCCCTCCTTCATTGATACTCCACTCTACCAAGAATGATGTCCCCCTCCAGGGATTGGTCCCTCCCAACAACATACCCAAAGTATGAGATATGAATCCTAACCATCCTAGTTTCCAAGGAGAACTCCAGTTACACTTGCTCCAACACAGATCTGCATGATTAGTAGTTGCTCCACTATTGATACCTTCACTATTCTTCTCCAACAACACAATGTAAATGCATCAATTCATCTTCGGTTGTCCTTAATCATTGTCCAACTTTCACACCCATATAATGCTATTATGAAAACCCTGGATTAGGTCAAGTGCACATTAATCTCTAAAGTGACATTCTTACTCATAACACTTTAAAGAGGTCTTGTGCAGCAGACCTGCCCAATGCAATGTGCCCTTTGATTTCTTGACTGCTGCCTCCATGAGTGTTGACTGTAGTTCTAAGTAAAACTGAGTTTCTGACAAATACAATCTTTTCCATTCATCAAGATGTTACTTATTGATCCAGTTGTAAGCATCCTTGTTTTCTTCACGCTAAGGTGCAACCCATGACCCGACTCGATGGCACTTAACAACAACAACAACAAGGTGCAACCCATACTGAAGGCTACAGTCTTCCTTCATCTGCAAGCATTAGAAATCTTCACTTCCATCGAGGCCACATCATCTGAACCATTGCAGGTTGGCAATGAGTCTTCCTATAATCCCGGTGTCACATTCCTTTCCATACAATACAGTTTCTAGGATTATTTGGCCAGCATACAGACTGAGCAATTGTGGTGAAAGAATATAACTTTGGTGCACACCCTTCCCAATTCTAAACCATTCAGTATTCCCACATTATATTTGAATGACTGCCCCACATTCCCACCACATGCCATATACAGGCTCCTAATAAGCACAAGTAAATGTTCTGGGATATTCACTCTTCACAGTGCCAGCCATAACCTATCATGAACCACACAATCAAAAGCCTTGGTATAGTCAACAAAGCACAAGCAAACATCCAATATTCTCTGCTTTCAGCCAAGAGGTCCGGGCCATACATGATAGTTACTGTGGCTGGTTCTTGAATGGCTTTCAATAGATTCAAAATTTCTGAAATGAATCTTATTTTGTGTTGAGTCAAGACACCATAAGTAGCCCCCACACCTATTTTGTTGTTTTAAAAAAATATATCTTGTGTGTGTGTGTAGGACAGCTTAGAAGGAGGGCCATGGTTATTAACTTTATATTTTGTGCATTCAGGCTGGCTAAGTTTATGCTGTCTCATTCAAAAGTTTTTAAAGGTTAGCTATAGGCCTTTTGGAAGTCATACTTCCACCCAAGTCTGGTTGAACACTAAGTCCCAGGCTCTATATTCCACCATCTTCCCTTCCCTTCTCAACTTTGTCCTTAGGAAAATGTTACACTTTTGATTTTGAATGATTGGCCATTCTATGGTGAATCATAGTGTTATTGTCCCCCCTACATATCTATCTACTGCTTATCTGAAAATTGGGCCATGAAGGTGTGTTCCTTTCCAGACCCAAAG